TCGGTTCTTGGTCCGCATCCTGGTCGAGGGACTTGAATTTGTCCACCTGCAACCGCGATAAGGCGTCAGCCTTCGTATTTAAAATCCCGGGCAGGTGGATTGCTCTGAATAGAATATTATGCCTCAAGCAGAACAAAACCAGGGCGTGGACAAGAACCAAGAGCTCCCTGTCCTATTGTGTGTGTGAATAAGTAGAGTGTCCAATTTTCGGCTTGTGTTCGGAACTATTCCCTTCTGTAACTGGAAGTCGAACGGAAGTCGGTCCGATGTTCACAGTTACAAAATAGTCGACCGTATAATATCCAGCTTCTCTCGGTTTTACACGAACGCTATAATCGAACGTCTGCTGGTCTCATTTCAAACCTGTAGGCTGGTTTTCACTAGCTACGGAGTCGTAGTCGGAATCGTAGTCGGAGTCGTAAGAGCGCTTACGACCTAGTGAAAATCGAAAATCGGAGTTGTAAGCGGAGTCACAAGCTCGACGGAATCGAAGTCGGAAGAATCAGAACGTTTCCATTTCTTCCGATTCCGTTTACGACTCCATCGCTTATGATCCAGTGAAAACTAGATTGTCGGAGTCGGAAGCAGAAGCAGGAGAACCAACCAATCACGAGGCCCGGTATCGAGCATTGTGATTGGTTTATTATTCAGCTTCTGCTTGCGATTCCGACAATACAGTTTTCACTAGATTGTAAGCGACAGAGTCATAAGCGGAATCGATGTTCTGCTTCCGACTCCGACGGTTTGATTTTCCCTAGATCGCATCGATCTACTCTTCTGATTACGAGTCTGACTATGACTCCGTCGCTAGTGAAAACCAGCCTTGTACGATACCGAACGAAGAGCAAAGCTAAGTCCTGCTCTCTCCAATGATCGAGTTTTTATCGACTACTCAAACACAACGTATCGAAAATGTTCTGGTTGGGAGCTCGAGTTTTCATGTAAGAATACCGCTCTGTATTTATGTGTTTATCCTATTTTGGACCAGTAATCAGACACAGCATTCAGGAAATGTGCACTGTGATTCTTCGTAAAACGATTTTAGGCTTCTGAAGGCACGGATAGAATTTTCTCCATGAAAACGTTCCCGGAATCACTGATACGTGTAAGACGGCCATGATAGCCGATTGATTTGTCCAGCTTAACAGTGCGAAATGCTCCCTGTACAAATCGTACAGGATCTGGCAATTTATAAACCTTTTACGGTAAACTATTATTCCCTTCGTACTTCTATTAACTATGGTACATGTAGATCAAAATATTATGTCCTGCGAGACACAAACCTGAAAAAAATCTAGCCTTTGGGAAACGTCAATTCCTTTCGGAGAACAAATGTGTCTTTAGAGACACAAAAGTATTTCCTTTAGGAAACGAAAATCCCTTCAGGTGACTACAATTGTAGACAGATCACTGGTAGTAGTGATTAACATAGCCCAATAGTACAGCATCCATGGTTGTTATGATGCTGTACATGCGAAGCAAAATTGCCCACTGGACACTGACACGTGCTTGAAAGATGACAAAGCTGTGTCTGTTGTTAATTGTGGAATGTGACAAAATTTAGCACTTATTTGTGATAGTAAGAGATGGAGAACCATCCAGTGTGTCACTGAGAAGACTTTTTCACTCACTGAAACATGAAAATCACTGAAAATCTCCCTGTTTCATTCATTAAACAATGCAACAATGGTTTTGTGAAATATGTTAAAACATATTTAGTGTCATATATATAATTCATCAGAGAAACATGTTTTAGTGTCAAATCCCAGTCCTGCAACAAGTAAGTAATATTGCCTCTTCTAGAGGAATATGCAGCACTGATTCTTATTCAGTGTTAAATTGATCGGTTTAAAACGCAGGATGTTGACTGCAGACTGCAGACTGAGGGTAAAATGTAGATTGCAGACTGTAGACTTTCTAACTGAACGGTGTTACCGTTTCCATCATTGATAGCTAACCATAAACAGGCTAACCAGCGCGTTATTAATAGGCTAACCTGAGTGATGTTCAGGCTAAGCGGAGCCAATCTATCTGGAGTGATATTCAGGCTAACCTAAGTGCAGACTTTTACTACGATTAGCCTAAATATTCCTGTTTACGGTTGGCACTCTATAATGGAAATACCACAAAATATAATTAAAAAGAGTGTAGTCTGCAGTCTGCATTTTACCTGGTCTGCATTCTGCATTTCACCCCTGATCTGCAGTCCGCAGTCTGCGTTTTACACTGACCGAGTGTTAAATATGACCACAAAGGCAAAACATAAATGTATACCAAAGGACTTCAAAAGAGCAAGAATATGGCCCTGATCAAAAGGCAAAACATGCATAAATGAAAGCCCACAGAGCAAAGCCAAAAACCGATACTTTGAGTTGACTACAATGTACTTGAAACTTCCATGAGATGATTGCCCATGGCCCTGGCACTCAGTATACTTGTATTTGCTGTCATTGTCAAGAGAGAGTGAATTCCTGGTATTGGTGAACACCTTTGTGATAAAACAAGTGTTCATGTTCATGAATGGGTTTGTAAAACATGCCATAGACATGTAGTAAAGTATAAACTCATGTGATGCTGTTAATGGCATGGTAATTTTCCACAAACCAGCTCTCTTTGATTTAAATGAATATGAATGCAGATTGTTAGCACCAAGAATTGCATTTCAAAAGCTAATGCAAGACAGTTTAAGATAAGGATAATATATTGTTAGTGTTCTTGCTGATGTTCTATTCTAATACTGCCAGTATGTTTCCATGGCTACCATGTAAGGCTGGTGCTATCAAAGCCAATTTTTTATAAAGATAGTTGCAATATAAGAATAAGAATTTGGTTTTGTCATTAATAGCAACCTTTAGAAGGTAGTGCAGGCTGCTGATTGGTTGATGAGTAATAGCAATTTATATAAAAATGATGGGATTGGTTTTAATCTAGAAGAATATATTATTCGATGCAACAAAGAAATTCACAACATGAAAATGTTAACTATGTGGTATGGGATAATCATTTATGAGCAACAATAAATGCAAATAGCAAACATGTTGAATCATAAAAAATACTAGCTCAGTTCAAAATGAATAAAGTAAGCATGAAGGTGAAATGCCTGCAGGTGTTACCTTCTGTTGGAGCAGTGTTAAGCCAGCCAAGGTATATTCTGGCACTTGTTTTTTCTTGTAAAAGTCAGTTGATGTCAACATGGTATCAGTAATAGACTGTTGATTATATATAGAGATAAAAACTCTGAAGAATTAGCATATCCTGGAATATTCCTTGGTACAGTGACCAGAATGTAAGCAAGTGCATTAGAGTGCTATAGGTACATGCAAATCAGAACTGCAATGGTTGAAAATTCTAGGGAAATGAAACATTGCTCTTCACCATGGGCAAGACTGACACTACTTCAAATCCCTGCAATTCTGTTCTTCTGTTAACTTGTATCAGCAATTTCATTGACTCTCACTTGAAAACTATGTCGGTAAAAAGGGTTGATCGACGATAAAAATCTTATTACACATTTTTTGCTCAAGAAATTACATCACTTGAAAATGTCCTGGGGATATTGTACACTACAACGTCCAGTAACTTACTGATGTAAATATATGACCCAAATGATATGCCAGTGAGCACTGCTTTTGGGAACAATTTAAGCATGTTTTGCTACTCATGGTGCTCAGTGGTTTATACATACAGTAATCAATCTCAGCAGCCAAAATCAACAAATTTCTTGATATTTAATTTTGTAGCTTCCTCGAATGCTTAACCATCCAGTGATTGAGTTGAGTCAGTATTCATTACAGCATTCAATAGTACATCGTACATCACATCAAATCACATTTCATTATCACTAGCATTCCTTTGATACTATATTCTTAATCAATACTATTTTTCATTTTCCCCAAGATCCTCATTTACAGGGAAATCGATTAACATCCAAATTTGTGGCCTTATCCACAAAATTATTGACAAGAGAGCACCAGCACTGAAAGTTCTTATTTTGAATTCCAAGTACAAACTTTGTTCACAAAAGCTGAAGTAATAGAAGAAAAGCATCCTAGCCTCAAAGAAATGCAACATAAGAGGATAGCGGTAAATATTGATAATATCCGAGAAAACATGGACCTGTAGACGAAGAGCATTCGAGGAGGTGTATACAACTGGTTAAAACAATATCTTGAATAGCTCCACATGTTGATAATTAGCAACAGAACTATTCCTTTTCACAGATGCTCTACAACATTTCTCAATTTCAACAAATGTGTGGCTTCCTAATGCTTAGATCCTACAAAAAGGCGATTGTGAAAGAATTAATGTTGGGGGGGGGGGGGGG